TTCTTCGCTGGAAGCAACTGCATATTTTAAATCAACATAAAAATCCAAATGATAACTGCATGTATTTAATGTAGTATTTATTAGACAGGGAAAAAAAAATAGATGAAGTAAAGCTTTTGCTCTATCTCATATGAAGACGTAGCTCGAAAAACTTCAGTATTATCCTCAAGAAATTAAGTTACAAAAGTCAGGAATTGGCACAGTATGTTCTCAGCCAGTTAAATGCTGCTTATTATTTTAGCAAACATTTCTGCTGGCAGTTGTTAACCTTGGGCAATAGAAATACATGTTTGCAGAGGAGTAAAGAGCAACTAGGGAATCTATTTATTCAATCCTATAAAAGCTTTTCTGAACTGATATGCAAAGTTACTACTTCAGAAGTAATTATAAACCAAGCTCATTTGAAGTGGCAGCTTTGCTGGTTGTTTTTACTTTTGTTTTTATTTTTGAAAACCACATTAACAGCATACAACTATTAATTGGTTTATAAATGAAATGCAAAATTGGTAGTACTATTAGTATAAAACTATGCTTGACTTCTACAATTTTCACAGAATGAAGGACCTTTATGAGTTCTTGTCTTTGGGGAAATATTTTTAAAATTCAATAACTGCCATATGGTATAAGAAGATTCAGTTCAAAAGAAGAAACAAAACCAGACATAAAACACAGACTGGTTTATATTTTTATGACTGTAAGTAGTGTTCCTCCAGTATGGTAGGGAATTCATTCCAACATGTCTTTCAATGTGGCACTAGTATTTTATAATGACTTCCTACAAGTCCTTTGTGATCTTGACTATCTCTGTCCATTGCTCTTTCAAAGATATGCTTCCTGATACTGCAATTGTCAGAGTGTTTTTCTGTTTCCAGAAATAATTTACTTCTCCTGTCAGGCACAGCGCACCTTCTTTCTCAAAGAACCTCTTCTGGGTGGCCATCTGGAAGCATCATCTCCATGCAAATCAGGCAGGCTGCTGACTTTGTGTTGGCTCACTTCTCCTCAGCACTGGCTACTGCCCTGAAGGCAGCATTAAATTTTAGTCTTGGACTGATAAATTCCAGGCCTATTGACATTTGTGACAAGACTCAGTGAAAGACTCAGCAAAAAAAAGGATGAAGAGGTGGAAGAGGGAATCAGCCAAGGACAGGCAGAGATGATCCAAGTCTTCAGAACCAAATAAACACACAGAGGTGTTACACCTTACCTGAAATGCAGCATTGACAACCCTATCTCATGCAGTGTTTGAAGAGCAATCAAAAGCCGGAGCCAAGATGCTAAAAGCAGACATTCCCAAACTGTAGAGAAATTAGATTTCAAGAGTTCTGATATGTGGGCCTTTCTATAGTCAGAAAACATAACAGAAAATGAAAGCAATTAAGTAAGAAATGGGGAAAAGCGGAAGAGTTCTCCCTGGATCTAAGAGATCTGGAATGATCAATGAGAAAAGAGGAAAACTGACTTAGTATAATTATTACTACAGTCTTTTTTTCTGCCTGTCTTCATAACTACAGTGTAAAAACACAGCTTCAGTTTTTCCTAGCTGTGTGTAGGGGGGGAGATATAAATCATCTATGGGCTTGTGGCTACACTTCAGTGAAACTGATGACATGAAAATCCATAGACTTGGGATGAGGCAGTATTTATAATAAAAAAGATCAACCTGGTGATAGGAATACTACAATTGTTTCCATTATAATAATATATCTTTTTATGCTTCTTCATGATACTATGCTTTAGAAATGTGTTATGATTATCACAAGATATAACAATCATGAATCATTCAGATTCCCAAGGATGTCCCCAGAAAACAATCTCAAATGCAGACATTTAACAGTTCCCAGATTACCTGCTGGAGCTGGAGAGACCGATTCAAGGCATTTCCTGGAACGGCATTTAAATATTGTGCTTCAGAGGTCAGTTGGAGTTACTCTGGTGTAAACTGAGGGTAGTCCAACAGCCTGTGGTTAACCACCACCTGGGTTTGTTTTTAATAGCTGTGTCACTTTGCTGTTTATTTATTTAATTAAGTAACTATAAAAGTTCACATTCTCACCAGAATTATCATCGGCTACAACTATTGCGTCTAGAGTAAGTGTTCAGAAAGACTTGGTTGTCAACAAGGAAGAGATATTCCTATTCATAGGGATGAGTAAGAACACTTGGTTTCATTTCAAAGATACAGGCTATTCTTTGAAAGGTGAAATAGAACATGGAGTCTTTCAGTGACCAGATACCTGTCTTTCATGTTACTGGGAATCTCTCAGACTTCAAAAATTTTAAAATTACTTTGAAAAAGGAGAGATGGTTTTCAATAACTCCAAATAGATGGCTTGAAGGGAAAGATGCAAGTTTTAATGCTGACAATAAAAGTCAAAAAGTGAACTGATCTAAGCATGAAAAGGAGTAAACAAAATTTTCTCTTCATTTAGTTGTGCAAAATGTAAGCAAAATATTCTTCATGAAATTACTATTAAAATGCAATAAGAGCAAACACAAAACTGTTTTTGCCATGCGTATTTTTAAGTCAGTGAGTGCCATAGTATCAACAGTGTGGAGAATGGACCCCCTAGAAAAATCAGTGATCATTCTTTCTTCCCCTGTCCTTTGCTGATATTAGTTCTTCAGTGCCACTATAGAAGCCAATGGAAATTTTAAATGAAATACATTGAGCTCTTTGTGTTATGACAAAGAAAGATAGGTTGAAATGTCATGTGTCTTTTGCATTTTAAATGTAAAATACTCTATTTACCTGGTCCTGTATCTAAGCCTAATAAATAGGAAATATTTCTATTTAAACCAGCTATTTATTGGTTACAGTCTTTCAAAAGATATCTCACAGTAACTTATTTTTTACATTGCTTCCATGAGGAAAGACTATTATACAAAACACATACATAAATAAAAGGTTTAAATGTTTTTATTTTCTTTATATACATTTAAATAAATAAATAAAATTTATATCTACAAAGAGAATAAAAACTTTTAACATTAAAACTATATTGACTCCACTGTGCTTAGCTTTGCTCGTTAATTCTTGTCTAAATCTCAGCGAAGAGGATGGTTTTACCCAATGACTGTGTGATTTTCTTTTTTAAGAAAGAGGACAGAATAAACAAAGAGAAGCTTCTAAAATTAGGTTATTCATTCTAAGGGATGCTGGATATCTAATGCAATTCCTGTAGGTCGAGAGCAGGATCTGTATTGATTGTTCCGCAGAAACTCATAACGTGTGTTTGAATCCCATCGCTGCTCAGTTTACTCAAGAGCGTCCCAAGCCCTCACCTCGATCCCGGTGTGTGGAGCCACTTGCCAGGGAGGTGCGTGCCATCTAGTGGCACCCGAACACACGACGACACCGTCAGCCAGACATATTCACAGAATCATTTAGGTTGGAATATCATCGAGTCCAGCCTTTGACCGAACACCACTATGTCAACTAGACCATGGAACTAAGTGCCATGTCCTAAAACACCTCCAGGGACAATGACTCCACCACCTCCCTGGACAGCCCATTCCAATGTCTAATCACCCATTCTGAAGAAATTCCTCCTAATGTCCAACTAGAACCTCCCCTGATAAAGCTTCAGACTGTCCTCTCTATGTTCTGTCGCTTGTTGCCTGGGAGAAGAGACCAACCCTCCCAGCAGGCTACATCCTCCTTCCAGTAGCAATAATCATTGAGCCTCCTCTTCTCCAAGCTTTGCATAAGGTCTGGTGGGCAGCTGCTGGACATAACCCTCACAAACAAACAAACAAGCAAACAGACATGTTCACTTTCAGTAGCAATGTCTCTCACAGGTCTCTCTCCTGCTTGATATACTGTGGAATACTGCCTCTAACTTATCTTTAGCTGCATTGGCAGCTCCCTATTGCTCCTTATCTTCCCCCTCTACTTTGCTCTTGTGAGAACCCACCAGGAGTGCTGCATCCAGCTCTGGGGTCCTCAGCACAAGAAGGACATTGACCTGTTAGAGTGGATCCAGGGGAGAGACATGAAGGTGATCAGACAGATGGCAAAATTCTCCTACAAGGAAAGGCTGAGAGAATTGTGGTTGTTCAGACCAGAGAAGAGAAGGCTCTGGGGAGACCTTATTGTGGCCTTTCAGGACCTGAAGGAAGCCTGTATGAAAGCTGGCGAGGGACTTTTCACAACAGCATGTAGTGACAGGACAAGGGGGAATGCCATTAAACTGGAAGAGAGAGGTTTAGATTAGATATTAGGAAGAAACTCTTTGCTGTGAGGGTGGTGAGGCACTGGAACAGGTTGTTCAGAGAGCTTATGGATGCACTATGCCTGGAAGTGTTCAAGACCAGGCTGGATGGACGTCTGAGCAACCTGGTCTACTGGAAGGTGTCCCTGCCCATGGCAGGGGGATTGAAATTAGATGAAATTTAAGGTCCCTTCCAACCCAACCCATTCTGTGATTCTCTGATTTTATGACTATACTTGTCAATTCAATCGTATTGAACAAATTACATCTTGGAAGACATTAGAAGCTGCCAGGTCACACGGATGGATTTAACATAAAGGAAAACAAACCCAGCCCTGCTTCTTCAGTCTAAAGACTCTATGTACCATAGCATCCCATGAGCGCTACGAAGACTCTCTGCCTCCTGCGTGCCAGTCTTAACAGCTCAGGGGCTGCTACTTCTGCTGCAGAGCCCAAGGGGATATTTTATGTCATCTTATGGCAAAAGTATGACTACGTTTTTTTGGTCTTTTTGGGTTTTTTTTCCGGTCTGCTATGTTACAGAGTCAGCGGAAGGGTTGGGACAGGTCGCTCAACTGCTCCCTCTCCCTCCTCAGCCAGGAAAGAGCCCGGTGTCGAGTGCTGAGGGTTATTAAAGGGGACTCATAAGACTGGGAGCCCGCCCGGCACAGAGACCCCGCCCCACGGCCGCGACAGGGACTACATTTCCTACCTGCCCACGGGGCGGCAGCGCACCCGCCATTATTGTGCGCTCCTTCGCGGGGGCTGCTGGGAGCTGTAGTAGGAGGCGGGGAGAAGATGGCGTCCAAGATCAGCGTGGTGCTGCGGCCGGTGAAGAGCATCGCGGTCCGGTTCTGCCCCTTCGAGCCCAACGTGGAGAGCACGAGGTGAGGGGGCCGTGGGGGCAGCGCCGTCCCCGGGGCTGGGGCCGTCCCCGTCCGTGCTCTGCCCGGGCTCCCCTGTCTGTAAACGTCCTTCCTGTGCCCTCCAGGCGCGCGGGTTGTGCGCGTTTCCCGGCAGGCACGAACGCTGGGCCTTTCGCCTTTAACTCTCTTTATTTTGGGGGTGGAGGCAGGGGTTATGTGTGCCTTGGGGAAGCAGCTGCAGGTGCCAAGCGAAGCCGGAAAACCTGCTGTCCTAGCAGTGCCCTGGGACTTGTCACTGCAAAGAGTAAGAAGTCCTGGTAGCAAACCATGAGGGAAATGCTAGCACCTGTTGTTCCCTCTCAGGAGAACTTCCTTCTCCCAAACTTCTACAGCTGCTTCCGTGATCTTGATCTTTGAGGGCTTGCATTTATCAGGCCTTTGGAGCTCAGTCTAGGCAGAACCTTGATGTTTCAGAATGGGATTTGTTGTAGGGCTCTGCTTATGGTGTTACCAGGCTGCACACAGGATTCATTCCGTGCGTTTTGGAGGGTCTCTGCCCGAATGTAGGCCCTTGCATATGGATGGATACGTGCACTGAGCTTTACCGAAGTACCCGGGGAGATGCCCTGGAGTGGCTGATCCTGTAGTAGGGAATGTAATAACTCCTTCAAATGCTGGTAATGGGAGAAAGTGGAGGCAACAGCTGCTCCTTTGCCTGGGTAATTAACTGTTGGAGAAACCTAAGGAATTGTGCTTCTCGAGTAGCGTGGGTCTGCACCAAACAGTTGCAAAATGTCGGCTTGCAATGACTTTACAGACACACGTACTTTTAAAATGAATTTAGTACCACAGTTGAATTTAGAATATCTTTAAGCCTCTAGAATGTCAAGTAGCTGTCATGCATTTCAGAAATTTACAGGCGACCAATGATGTCAAGTAAATAAATGCTGTCTCAAACCCAAACAAGAAAATATTGGCAAGCAAATGACTTATAAAGAAAAATGAAAATTACTTTGCTGATTATTTTTTATTATTGTTACTAACCCAGCTGAGAGAAACACAGAAGGTGCATACACTGAAGTTTTACAAAATTCTTTTATGTGCATTTTACGTGCTAGTATATAAGGAATACCCATTTGGATTTTTTAAAGTGATTCTCATATAAGAAGTTCCTGCCTGAAATTACTAAATACAAATCCTGTTTTGTTTATACTTTGTTGCCCAGCAATGTCAAGATATGCAAATCAGTTATAGAAATATACTGATTTTAATTGCTATCTACCACATACTTAATATATTTTCAAATATATTTTCAGAAAATTTCTCCAATGTATATTCCATAAAAAAATCCAAGCTACTAATAGAAACTGTGAAGTGACTGCTGATGTGAGACATGACGGATCTGAACCACTTGTAGATGTCATGTTTGGTAAGGAGCTCATTTTTTTTAAAAAAAAAAGACCTTCTGAGTTTGTGTTACAATGTTATTCTGTTCTCTATTATTTTTTTTTTACTATGATTATTTTTTTTGGCTCTCATCCATAAAAAGAAAGAGGAATCACTAACAGCCTGATATCTAGATAAATGTGTATGTATGTCTCTGTACTACATCTGATAGATTTTAGATCCAAAAACTGACCTAACTTTAGAGCTGAATGTACTTGTGTAGTGACATATTTATGTACCTTGCAGACAGGTACAATTCCAGGAAACTAAATGTAGCTGTTTTGATGTAAGAATCTGCTCACTTTCTATATTTTTTTTTTTTTAATGTTACCTGTGGTGGAAGCATTTCAGAATTGAGAACAAAAGTTGAATACCTTTAGTTGCTTTTGCAACTGAGTAACTCCCTCTGCAGTTTGAAGGAACTGCTCATATGGGTAAGGCCACACATGTGCAGATGGATTTGCAGAATGAGGTCAACTGTGTACAACAAATTTCTTGGTTTCCTTTGAGGGCACAGTGAGCAGGCAGGGAATTGATGGTGGAAATTTCAGCAGTTCTGGAGGCAGCCCAGATTCTAGGCTGTGAACAGATGGCTCTAAGCTGCTTTTGTCCTTTTCTCTGGCTGCATCTTCTTTCCTGCTGTGCTGTAATGGACCAATATGTCATGTAGCCCATTAAAGTTTTCATTATTATTGATTCATGCTACCCCCTTATCTTTAAACTTCCATATATTTAGTGAATTGGTGGAAATGCCAAAAGTGTTGAATGGTATTTGTTTTGCTTAGGAAAGTCTACTTATTTCAATGTTAATGTTGCTTGTTCCTCCCTCCCCCATGCTTGTCTTTCCCATCCTTGTCTCTAACTATGATCTGATGTATTAAGCAGTAAAGCTCAATGTTTTTCACAGTGTAAAACCAAAACAGTTTGTTTCACTTATGCCAAAAGCTACAGCTCTGAACTCTAAGCTGATTTTTTTCCAGGGAAGTGTTTGTAGCTCTTCTAGTTGGCAAATGGGGCCTGGAACTTGGATGGCATGCATGGTATTGCATTATATGAGTTTGGGTGTGGGTTTTGTATTTGCAAATCTTGCAAAAATAAATAATTAACTTGGGTACAATACTTGTACTGCTTTTTGCCCATTTAAAAATAAATTCTTTCAGAATTTTGGAAATCCCAGTGCTCTCTATTTTTTTCCATCACAACCACCAGATTGTGTAAACCAATTTGTTGTTTTGGCTAGAGAAGTACGTTAAATGGACCGTAGACAATAGGCTGCTAAAATGCTGAGCCATGTGTGGAAATGATCTTTCAATGCCTTCTGTGCCTTCTGTTAGATGATTTTGGAGGTATAGTATGAGCCATTCAAATATGTGTTCTTACCATAGGTATACCTAGACAAATGTTTTCAGATTTTTTAATAATGCAATTCAGAAATGAAAATTAAATGTGTGTTGTGTGCAGTTTAATTTGTTTGTTTGGTGGTGGTGCATAATCAGAGTAAGTAGAGTACTTTCTAATCAGACAAGATGAACAGGTTATTTGGACTTATATATACAAAACAATTGCACACTAGAGTAATTGTGACTTAGACTTTGTGATTTCTTAAGATTTTTTCCATTTACAGCTGATGGAGATCGATTAATAATGAAGGGAGCCAACTTGACGACGGTAGAAATGTTAACAGCACTGGGGTCCAGATGTAATGCAAAAGACCTTAAGGAAGAACAGAAAAGCAAGAAGAGTCCCTGAAGAACAGAGAAGCAAGTGTGTTTGCATTTATGTGTGTTAAAAACAGCAGACTACACGAAGGCTTTTCTCCTATGCAAGAAAATCTGAGAGAGATGGCCAAAACCCTGACCAGTTTAATATGCAGAAGAATGAACCCTTCAAATGTTCCCTGTCTTCACCTGAAGGAGAACATAGTGGATCAACAAATCCAATACCAGTGGGTCAGAGTGGCTTAAGATGCATGACTGCATCTCTCTGAGCAGCTGTGTGTCGGACTAATATCACGTGTATTTGCATATCAGTGTGAATAATACACATTAGCTATTAAATTAATATTGCAATGAAGACAGATATCTTTGGACATTATTTCCTCCAAAGTTTCTCTATACTGTAGTGCAAAGCATTATTAGACTGGTTATTATTTTTTGAAAACTATTAAATTTAGTAAAAATTTGAAGAAAACTTTCAAAGGATTCATCATTGACTCAGCTGAGGGACAGCAGGCTGCAAATAGAGTGGATTTTGTAATACTATGTTTATAATGCATCTGTCCTTGAGCTCCTACCATTTTCTTCCTGTCTTTTTGAAGAAAAAGGGAAGTCTGCTAACTGTAAATTTAGCTCAGCAATTAAAGTAACAAGGTAATGGGACTGTCAAGACACAGTAGAACTACTCATCCCATCTAAAAGTAACTAACTAATTTTAGATATTTACGGAAGTAAATATCTAACATGATTATTGACAGACCATATGGTCCACATGGTTTCAGATGTATTATTTCCTTGAAATACATCTTAAAGCACTCAAAAGCATCAATGCCTTACAGCAAACATTTTTCCCCTCAAAAAAGCATTACAAATGTTTCAGAAAAGACACATAAAAAAGCAGTTCTTAAAATGCTAAATCTAAGATACTGTCTACTTTTTTAAATGCTTATATTAATGTATCTGAAGGTTCATGAAAATATCTTAAGGTTCATGAAAACTAGTCTCTGTTTAGAAACAAGTGTCTGCTAGGAAGTTCAGAGACTTGTTCGGAACAAGAACCTTTAACTCAAAGGGAAAGGTCAGTTAGTTTTTTTCGATAATTGGAGAAAAGGGCTATCTTTGAAGTTCAGGTTTGCAATATTTTTGTCACTTTTGGGCTATTTCATTAACTACTTTATGAAGATCAGAGGGAGAGCTTTATTTGATGTTTACAGCCCCATGTCCAACCCTATTATTTATTAAGGTAACTGCTTAGGTGTCTCATCTGTATTGCAAAGCTCTGTGGGTTCAGGAGAGGTGATCTCAGGCTGTGCAGGTGAAGGTGTCAGCTGCACGTGTGTTTCATGTGCATCAGTTTTGTTCTAGTTCATAATGAAAATGTGATTCCAGTTTTGAGAATTGCAGTTGCACTTGAGAGGCATTAGTTCTACCTGTTGTTAATCAGATGCCTGACTTCTCTAAAATTAGTTCATATATTTCCAAAGTTAATTTGGCAGCAGATTTAGCACACAAATATGAAACTAGTTTTACCTTACTTTTACCAAGATTTTTAAATGGGCACTGCCCTTTCTGAAAGGAAGATCATTTTAAATAGCACTGGCAAGGTGGTTCTTTGCTACTTCTTCATTAGGTTGCTCAAGTCAAGGTGATGTGTTATATTGGAGAGCTGTGCTAAAGACATTGGGTGTTTCCCATGTGTTTGCAACAAATAGAAGAGTACTGTAGAAGTAGATCAAATATAAATAAGACTGTTCAAAGGGCGGGTTTTTTGTTTGTCTATTTGCTTTGGGTTTCTTTCCTCCCAGTTTAGAATAACATCATATAGTATGACTTTGCCTGAAGCACCTCTACAGGAAAAGTGAGAATTGTTCAAGTGAAAAAACACTGCAGAATTATTCTTTCCCTGGTTAAACATATATTCATGTGCACAAAAGCTCTCTTACTGTAATATATCAGTGATTTTTGTGATTTTTTTTTTCTTCCTTTGACAGTTTGTACATCAGTATGTTCAACTTGTGTTTAAATGTGAAACACTCTTGCTTGATCTGTCTTAAATAGTTAAATCTGTAAGTATCTAAAGACTAAAATGGGTTAATTAATTATTAATAATAATTAAGTTTCTATAGTGTTTCTTTTGGCCCAAGATTAGGGTTTATATTTATGAATAGAAAAGGGAGAAAAGATTGTTGTTTGAGTTTTTTATGGCCAAAATACATCCTTTCTGTTGTTAAAGAAAGGTGTGTTTTTTTTTTTCTTTCCTTGCGTGGGTAGGCATCCTACTGTGTAAAAGCACACTTGTTCTAGGTGCTTTCATTTTAACCCAAAGATGCCCAGCCTTTTTGCTTAGATTAGGCCAAAGGCCTGCAACGTTGCTGTTGAGAGATGGCTGACAGTTCAGTGGATGAAGCTGAGGCTGTGGGTGCTTGTAGCTGCAGATTGCGGTGGTAAAGCTCTGATACGTTTTGTCATGAAAAACAAGTCATGACTTGTGTTTTAATATACAAGGTACAAAGGAAAACCTACAGGACAGAAAAATAAAACTAAAAATGTGCATTCTCAAGACTATAAGATACTGAAGTGATATAAGCAAGCAATATGGGCAAGAAGGTACTCCTCTGGTGATTATTATGCTAATCTGTAGAAACTAGCTCTCCCTGTACTGTGTCGATAAAGGTACGAATTTATTTTTCAAGTACATTAAAGATAATCTGTAATGACTTTCTTCCCTGAGCATTTAGATAGCTTTGCTGCAAGCTGTTCATACACTATCAGTTCCTGCTGGTGATTGACTGAAACAAAGCTCTGTCAGATTCCTGACATGCACAGTCCAGGGCTGGGGATGTACAGGGTATTAAGGTCAGTCATGCAGAACAAAGCATGTCTGGGTGAGCATTGACTTTGCATGTTATTATTCTTTAGCCCACTAATCTTGACTGCCCCACCAAAAATGTGGGCACTTGCCCAGCTATGAAAGGAACTGGAACAGCTGGAACAGGCCCTAAAAGCATTAGGATTACCTAAATACAAACACCATGTCCACGTAAGGTGTCTGGTAGCAGGTAATGACAGTAAAATGGCTAAATCTTTAATGCCTGGAGATTTAAAACCATTTTTAGAATCATCTTAGATCTGTTTATTGTACAAATACGTATTTATTTAGAAGTTCTTATCAGTGCATAGGGAAAATAGTCCTGAAACAGATGAATATGTCGTTCAGATAACACTACCTGGCTGAAATATTCCCTTTTTAAGTATCTGCAGCATTGTTTTTAGAAAAAATCTTTATATTAAAGATTTCAACTAGGAGCATCAGTGTTGGTGAACATTGCAAGTGTTAACACACAAGTTTTACGCAGCAAGTTTTAACTACTAGCTGGCCCAAATAAGTGCAAAATTGCAATGTTCTGATGCTTTTCTTGCAAGGTATAAGCAAGTAGAAACATCCTGTTGGAGGCAGTTCATGCATGCCACTGCAACTTCTATTCTTTGTTATTTGCAGGGATCTCAGTTTGGGCAGTTTCATGCTACATATAGTAGGAAAAACTGGCTGCAATACAGTATTGCTGTGTAAACACCACTGGAGTAGAGAAAAATGTTTTAAATCTCAATTATTTTGAAAATGTTGCAATCTAATATGCTTTTGCTGTTTGTGAACATACAAGAAGTGTAATCTAATTTCAGAAAATTGCATCTAAGTATTTGCCCTGTTGGTTATGGAAGAATCATAGTTCTGGTTTGGTTTTCACCTCTACTGTATATGAATTTTGAATGACTAAGGAGTTTATATGGTGTAGGAAAGCCAAAAAAAATCCTCCAAAGATAAATATCATTGGACTGTATTTCACAGTTCTCAAGATACTTGCTTCCAAATGTATCTCCTGCATATGAATACACTCCTTGCAGTTTAAGATTTGCTGGCTCACTGCCCACCTCACCAGCTACATTTGCAACCAGTTTCCCTGAATGCCAGGCCCTGCTTTTCCTCTGGGTGGTTTGGAGTCAGGTTGAGACTGACATGTCACCTGTCAGCGATGCCTCTTCCAGATGCACTTCCCTGCCTTCTCCATCTCCTGGCCTAATAGCCTTTTTCCTTACTGGTACTGTTTGATCTCATCCGATCTCACCTTTTCCCGCTGGAAGGCCTGGGTCACTCTTCTGAGCCTTTTTTATTGTCCACCAAGAGGATGCAATAGCTTCAAGCAGCCAAAGTACTTTGCTGCTGGTAGACGACTGCATGTTCTCTGCTTCCTGCTTAACCTTGCTCTGTAAGCTGATAAATGTTGAGATGGAGCAGCATGAACTGGTAGAGGTGCTATTTTGCTTCTGATCATTTTTAACTTGACAACAAATTTTCTTTACATTGAGCTGGTCTTCTCAGGATTTTACAAAACTAAAGCTGTGCCCAGGGACAGATGTTAGGGGTGTGAAGGCAAAGGAGTTGCTGACCTGTTTTGATCATGTCCTGAGGAGTTTCAAAGTGGTACCTGAAAGCAGAGCCTAGAGATTCTGCCTGAGTTAAAGTGGGCTTTAAAGTGGGCAGTGTTAATAGCAGAGGTTTTTTGGGTTGACTACATGACTCGGGTTCAAAAGATCTTCTAAGAAGATTCTTGCTTCTGGCATCTCAGGCAACCATGCAGGATCAGCAGGTATCCTCCAGTTTGCTCTTCTAAACTTGAAAAGCCTCACAGTATTTGGGTTTATGTCCTTGATTGTGTCTCAAGAGATGATGTTACGTATCTAACATCTAGAACAGAGAAAATCTGTAAGGAGGTAAGAAATTACATTACAGTTCCCTGATTTTTTCCTATGCTTCTGCCCCAGGATAGATTCTGAGACTGGTTTGGGCACCTTTTCTTTTATGTGCAGCTTAACTTGATACTAATCTAGCTATTTGAAGGAAAGGAATAAGTAATCATCTGATTCTTGACAAGACTTAGTATGTTGACAATAGGAATGGGATAATAGTAAAAACTAGCTTTAGCTTCCAAAGGGTTTTACCCTATGTTCTTCTACAGTCCATGGAAGAGGAGGTCTTCTCTGAAAGGCGAGTCAGAATGGGAAGCTAATACTTTGAGTGGCACCCCAGAGAGCCTGTTTCTTCCTGCTGTGTGCAGGTGTGAAGAGACTTGTGCTGTTTGGAACCTCCATCAACAGTGCCCCAGGCATCTATTTCACATCTAAGCCCTTGTCCCCACAGGATGAAGTCCTTTGGGAGCCCTATTCAGGTAAACAGCCTACACATATTCCTAACACTGTACAACACGATTTTGCTCGACAGGAAGAGAAGCAGTTGCAGTCCTTCTCACTCCAACGCTGCTGAGAAGGGTGTTGGTATCCCCATCACAATGCAAAGACCCTTCCTCTGTAGAGGATAAGTGTCAGGCTCTGCCTGCTAAATTTCTATACCTGTGATGCCCATCTTGTGACATCCTGAGAATAAAAACTAATGAATAACTATAGTTATAACTATAAAACCTTTTTTTTCCTGCGGTTACCTTCACAGTGGTTGATCAATATCCATAGTAGTGAAACTCTGCTTCTGATATGCAATCAAAAAAAAGGCTAAAGCTTTAACACCCCTCTAAGATCCAGTGGGCACATCTGTAGTTTGTGATTCCAAATTTCATAGGCTAATTATTCATCATTGGTAGAAATATTTGTTTTATCATTATTTATTCCGAATCATTTTTACATTCCTTGTCCTTGCCCTTATGTCCTTATTGTTCCAGACCACACAGAAAGGACAAAGTTGGAGGTTTTATTTGGGGGTATTTGTCTTTATTTATAGAGCTTTGGGATGGGGTTTTTTGTACATCTGTGGTTTCTAAAAGCCAAGCCAGAGTATTTGCTTTCTGAAAGTCTCCTCTGTGAGCAGGTATTCCCTGCTAATGTGCTTCTGTTTTACGTGGATCAAAGGCCTTTTCACTGCTAAAACTACAGCTATGGAAGATCTCTTTTTTAGCATTGTAATAGCTGTGCTGATTATCAAATTCTGTAGATAAATAAAAACATTTTTATTCTAATGGGTGGATGTTTGCTATTAAAAGTAGATACTGCTGCTAAATAAAGAAGGCTTTTCAAAGCTTCCAAAGTTAGCCACAAGCTAACACATCTGCAGTCACTGCGAGCTGGGCTGGATCTGACATCAGGTCATTTTTGTCTGGAATGAGGAAAATGAAGCATGGACTCCTCTTTCCAGTCACTGCAGGCTTCTGGAGCTTTCTCTTTCACCATTGAGGCAGGGGACAGTTCGAGAGCAGTCACACCATTGCCACAGTAAACTTTGCCCTTGGTGTAAGCATTTCCCTTTAAACTTGCTTTGAACATGCTGCTGACAACATACAGGACATACACTGGGACTGCCAGTGTGTTAATTGCATTATAGTAACACTCTGTGGCTTCAGCGAGGGCTGGGACTCCAGGGCTGGGTGCTGAACACGGGCACACGTGAGCCTGCACATCCCTGGCAGCTGGCTACCTAGGGCAGATGCAGCAGCATCCAGATCTACAACAAGGATTATTTGGACCCATGCTCCATGCTGGAGAGCAAGATGGCTTTGTTCTGACTTGAAAACAGATGTGTCGCACAAAGTTCATTGACAGACACAGGCTGTGCCCAGCTCTTGTAGCTCAGAGGTAATGAAATGCCAATATGCTGGAAGATCTTGTGCATATTGACATACAAAGGAAAACTTGCAGGTTCATGTTTTGTTGCTTCATAATTTCTGGTCTAGTATTGCCCAAGCAAACAGCTCTTGAGCTGGAGTAAAGCTTCCTTAGGCCAGCTATGCAACCATAGCACATGTTTCATCATGTGTACCTGGTGATGACATGGCTGGGAAGGGAAAACCGCACTTGTACAACAAGGAAACAGAAACAAAGCTGTGCTACCTATGCAATTTTTCCCATCCATGCCTTGGGGCTGAGTAACTATTATTCAAGGACTGCTTTAATATTTTTCCACAGCTAGGGATAGGCTGAAGAGTAACATTTGGGCTGTGGTGTCCAATTTTCCTGACAATTTTTAAGACTTTCTTAAGATGTAATGTTGTCTAGAAGAAGCCTACCTCTTAGAAAAGGTACTGTATATATGCAATATATCTGTATACTAGAAAGAAAGCAAGGTCCTCCCTTTTTCACAGTAAAGGAAAGTATAGTGCTATCAGATTGGGTTCCTTCCAGGTTAAACATATGGGAAGTTTAATGAGTAAAGGTCTAGGGAAAAAGTTACACCTCCTATGGAACCTGATTAGCGATATGTTGCAGATGAGGAGGTGGTGCTGTGCCCTGCCCAAGTAGCAGGTATTGCAACTCCAAAAGACAAAATATGGCTTAGCTTGCATGCAGTGGGTAATGCTATGGCTATGTGAAGAGAAACCTCAAACTGCTGGCTACAGCTTCCCAGCTCCCACATCAGATGAAGCATCACTGCACGATGCACACCTGCCCAAACGAGTGGAACGAAGGTCTGTGTGCACTCTTTTGCCTTGGTCATTTTTTTTGCACTTGGTAATGAAGGACTGTAATATCCTCCCCTCCCACAAGGTGTAAGAGCTTGACTACCTCTGGAAAGCATTCACCCTGGCAGGCCCAAGCTGCCAAGGTGGCGGTTGCTCCTAACTGTGGCTACGTGCTTGCCGTGCAGCTAATTTCCACAGAAAAATTCACACTTCTCATTGTAAATTTGATTCTCCTTTTCTTGGACAACATATAGTCTAATGTGGAAATGAGCAAAACTTCAGAGAATTTAATCTGTCTGCACTGAAACAGTAATATGTGGCACAGGAATTCAGCGCTTTCTGTAGGAATACATGTATTTGCTGCTTCTCTTTGAGTATGTCTAGAGAGGAGACTACACAAACAAAAAAGGTCTGATCGTCATGTCAGCCTCGAACCAGGCAGGAACTGAGATTTACAGGGATGAATCTCTGTGGCTCAAGCAGCTCTGGATATCTGAACATTTTAGTTTGGCTCCCAAAGTAAGAGCCATATTTGGCCAATATACATACTGTACTATCAAGGTAAAAAACAGTGTATATTTTGTAGCCCAGGCCATTTGTACCTTACTCAGAAGGATACATCTCTGGTCCCTCTAGTTACTTTATTTGCTGTGTGAGATACCACAAATTTCAGCACTATACTGTTTCAAAGTTTTGAGATGTAATGTGTGATATCACAGCCAGTAATCCATATCACTGCATTAATTTGCAAAACATTAGAACTTTGTAAAAATTGAGAGATATTTTTCACTGTATCCTAACAGTCATAAAATAAAAATAAGAGTTCTTTTCTTCTTATGTCTTGTATGAACTTACATGCCTAGACCTGAAAAATTTGTAAGGAGAATGAATCAGACTAAATGACTTATGGGAAGATTCAAAAATGTAGCAACATTGTGCACAGGTATGTAGCTGGAGATCCAGGTACTTAAGATCCAGGAATACTGTCTCACCACTAGATGGAAATAGTGGATTTTACATCTTCTGCTGCATTATCAGCACTTATACCTGAATACTATTTGCATATCGTAAGCCATCTGCAGCCAGCACTGCAGAAATGTGGATCCAAAATTCTTTGCTAGCATACATGGAACAAGGCCAAGATTTCTATTTCTAGAGATTGTTTCTGCTTTATGAGACTGAAGACTTCTTAATTCCTGAAGGATGATTCTGTTTGATCTCTAATCTAATTGTTTTTCATTTATCCTTTCTGTAAGCAACCAGAGAAGAACTGCAGGATGGACAGAATGTTGGTTCCACTACTCCAAATTAGTTAGTAAACATCAGCCTAATTTAAAATGTACTCTGAAGTATCTTGCACAAGATGGGGGAAAAAAAGATTAAAAAAAGAAAAGATAAAAGTGGAAGGAAGTTGAAAGTCTTGTGTTTCAATGTACCTACTTAATAACAAAAAAAAAGCAACCTGTCTTGCTTCCTTATGAGCAGATGACATATAGCATTGTTTGCATATTAAAAACAAGCGTATAGTTGGAGAAGCAGAAGGTAATTAAAGGCAACTCCGTAGGTAAGGATAGTTAAACAGAAGGATTTCTTTTTAAAAAATCAGTTTCAAAAATTACCTGCTTACTCTGTGTATGACAACTCTGATTTGCTACAAAGTATTGAAGCTTCCAACCACCCTACAGAGTTTCATCGCTGTAAAACATAAGGGAAAGCATCCTCCTTGCTCCAAAAGTCTTGGCTTCACAGCACCTTCTCATGTTAAATGCTGGAATGAGCATAGAGCCCTTGCTGTCTTTTCTGGGTTTGACACCTTTACCTCAAACTTCTCCACAAAAGTACTAGCAGTGTAGTGACGGTTACTCCATAAAAACCCCTCCAGACACCAGGTGTATCTTCACATTTTTCTTTTTCTGAACTGGAGAAAGTAGCTGTGGGTTTCATCCAGTCTGATACAAAGTCAAAAGAGACAGAGATTGGCATAAGCCTGATGGTGGAAACAAATCTTTGGAGTACATTGGAATCAGGATTTCTGTTGTGACTTAGAAATAGCAGCTTCCTCACAGAACATGACAGTAAATCTCTCTGCTCACCTGGCAGAATTTGGCAAAAGACTGGCCCGAACCACACAGGGCCTGTTAACAGCGTATATTTTATGACGCCACTTCTGTGCCAGTGTACAGTAGCGGCTGCTGCAGTGTTTTCCTTTAAGAAGTAGGAATTAGGGTATTGCAGTTCAATATGGACTGAAAATAAGATAACAAATATGCATGTTTCCAATGCTAAAACATGAGATTGCATTCAGGCTTTGCTTTTTTTCCTGTGTACTGCAAGTACCCACATTAGTTCTGTATTTTGATCAATCTTGTTTGCTAACTGATCACTGTGTGTACGTAACAGGTGTGTTCCTAGGTTGCAGCAAGCTATGGATTGCTATAGTTCAGTAATATGTGATATACCAGTGGGATTTGGGGGGTTGTTGGGAAGGCTGACAATCAATCCCAATAAACTGCTTTGGAATGCTGATGCCTTATTGCTCTGTCTCTGTGCTATATGATGCTTCTTCATTCCTGAATTATCCTTCAAAAAAATATGATATATATATAGAGCACAATTTAGCATTCAGTGCCCAGGACTTCGTTTTTTTAACTTCCCTGGCGCCAGAATCTCGGAGTCCGTGTTGAAACCCATGAGTGCCCAGTGCTCAGCGCACCGGCCTCTTTCGCCACGGTAGGTGCCTGACGCTTTTGTGTCCGAAGAAGCGTTGAGGTCACGACATCCCTTGGCGTGAAGCTCAGTCAGTGTCCCACCGTTCCTGGGCGTTCCCGTCCCGGTGTGCAGAGAGGGGGTGCGTGTGTGTGTGTTTGTGTTTGCGTGTGTGTGTGCGTGTGTGTGTGCGCGTGTGTGTGTGTGTGTGTGTGCGTGCGTGTGTGTGCGTGTGTGTGTGTGTGTGTGTGTGTGTGCGTGTGCGTGTGCGTGTGCGGGCGGAGGGCGGGCTGCATCCCGGCGTGCCCGCTCTTGCCGCCGCTGCCGCGGGCGGGACTCGCCGGGCGGGGGCTCGGCGGGAGCCCCATTGGCTCTTCCCGGCGGCACATGTTGCCGGCCCCGCTATAAAGGCGACCGCAGCCTTGCTGCAGCCCGTCCTCCTGTCTCTACGCTTTCCAGGGACGTCGCCAGCTCCAGCGCCGCCGCCATGGCTATCGACCCGTTTTTAGGCAAATGGTGCCTCATCTCCAGCGAAGGCTTCGAAGAGTACATGAAGGAGCTGGGTAAGGAGCCGGCAGCTCCCTGCCCCCGGGAGGGAGGGAGGAATGGGTGGATGGAGGGATGGATGCCTCGATGCCGCCTCGGGGACGTGCCACTGTCGCCGCGGCTGCTGGCCGGCGAGGCTCTGTCCAAGGTCCGCGGCGAACGCGGTCCTGGAGCCGGACCTGAGGGTGGGGTGCAGCCCGTCCGTGAGCCACGAGTGGGCGTCGGCTGCGGGGTCGATGCTCCGAGATGCGGCACCGGGGACTCTGCGCTCCCCTCCCCCGGCGCTTGGGAGGACTGCTGGCTGGGAGCAGACCCTTCTTCCCGGGAGAGCTGCCGCCTCCGACTCCCCGTCCTAAAGATGTCGGCACGATGTTTTGCACCGTAATAATTGCTGGGAGCCAGGTGTCAGTGGCGGCAGGCACGTTCCCGCCGCCCTGTGCTGCGCCCTCCCCGCTGCCCCCTCCCGCCGCAGCACCCCGGATTACCAACCCGTGCCAGCAGTCCGGCTGAGATTAGACCGGTTCGCTCCTCCCTCTCCGGGTAATGCCCGGGGCGGGGAGCCGGGGCTGCCCGGGGCGGGGGCCCGGGAGGGGCGGCGGGTCGCAGATGCCGCACGGCAGTGCTGCTGCCCAAGCGGGGCTGGCTCATCGCGCCCGGGGCGGCCACACAGACCTGCTGAGCCGGGGCTGCCTCCTCGTGGAGTCACCTTGGGTGTCTCCTCCAGAGAAAGCCTAACTGGATCAGCTGCCTATGGGTGGCTGGCAGCAGGCTGCCCCGGCGGAGGCTATTTGACTGTTTTCTCCTGTGGGTAGCGGCACCCTTATCTGAGGGGGGTGGTCCTGGCATGCTATTCCTGCGTCCAGGTTTGCCCTACATTTTGTAACACGGAGTTACCAAATGAAGAATAGACCTAACAGACCAGGAGCCTCCTTTGCAAGCTCAGATTTACCACCTTCCTGTGAGCGTCCTGGCTGACAGGTGATAGTTACCTGGCAGTGTCTGTATAGACCAGGAGCTATTATTTTCTGCAATTTATTCACTGATGAAAGCCAGGATATTTTCTCAAGAGGCAGAAAATGTAGCCTTGTATTTAGAGGGAGGAGAGGAAGGAATTTAGGTCTTGTGCTCTTCATGCAAAATACAAAAGGTGTCACTGCAGACACTGATGTCTCTGCACACTCTGCAGACAGTGGTGGCTGTAATTATATTTTGAGAGATCTGTCAGTATGTGATAGCTGTGATGTGAAAAACCCTTCTGGACTGAGGCCTTTGGGAGACTTTGGAGGAAAATCAAGAATTTTAAACTCAGCTCTGTTGAGCCATGGATTATGATATCGTGGTGCTCATGTCCAACAGCCAGACCTAGGCGTGTGCCAGGTTGCAACTTCAAAGTAGAAATTAAGTGCTGCAACTGCAGAGCACCTCCCCTGTATAGGCAGCAACTTGAGTGTTGTTTGGTTTTGGATTGCAATCATAAACCAGTCACTTTTCCTTTTTACAATTACAATTTAGACAATTAAATTTACTCCAAGTCACGCTTTAGGAACCATTTACAGTTTTTCACCTTTTCTGGCTATTTAGAAAACTCTCTTGCTTTTGATCCTATTGATGCACCATAAATGAAATCATGCAAATTCTGCTCAGTCAGTGTAAAAGAACATTTGAGGACAAAGAAGTTTGAATTTCACTCCTTGCCAGATGGAAAACATATGCAGCTCATCTCTATTTTGTTAGCTTCCAAGCTGTAGCTGATCAAATAAATCACTGATGACCCTAGACTAGGGTGACAACAATGGGGTGTGTGGGGGTGGGTCACCGTGGCAATAGTTTCCAGTTCTGGTCAGAAAAGCTGAACTGAGGATGACTCGTTTTTCTCTGTGGGCTCAAGCTTAAGGCTCTCTCCTGGAATCTCAGTTGAGTCTGAAGTAGTGTCTGCAAAGTACTTTATTGCCACCTCTCAAAGAAACTAATCTTTGCTTTGTGGACTCATCCCTCACCCAGGTATCCTGTGCAAGCCCAGGGGAGTGTCATGCTGATGCATGACAAGATTTTCTAATTACCCCAGCTGTGGAGCCCAGGCACTCACTGACTTGGTGGCACTTTTGGCTCCATTTCATTGCATATCACTTCTCTGTTTAGATCTGCACATTCCAGATTGATGGATTCACATTCGTTGCTTGCTACCCTCTTATTTGTGTTTTCGTCCTTCAGATCAAGAAGATTCAAAACCCCTGAAACAGTGCATGCATGGGCTGAGGCAGGGTGAATCTCTTTTGCTGAAGAGTTTTGATGAATTTTCAGCCATTCACAAAGCTTATTTCTTCATTTCTTTTGTGATCTTTTTTTTTTGCGTGTGTGTGCATATGTGTAAGCACTGTTTTGCATGATAGTGGTTTTCTAATTCACAACTCAATACTTTGTATACAGGATGTAGAATATGAAATTCTATTAAAAATGGCATGTTGGCAATTGTGTAAAAAGTGGTGGAAGGGTATTTCTTGAGTGAGTTGAAATAAAGTGTATTCATCTGTCAATTAAAAATAATTTGTAGAATTTTTTAAAGTGCTCAGAACTTGAAGGGAATAAGCTCTTTTTCCTTCCTCATCACTGGAAAATTTAAAACATCCTTTTTCTTTGTTGCTCTTGAGCTTTGATTCTCAAGTGTACCTAAGTGCCTAATTAAATGGGAATTAGGTATTTGAATTCCTGTGTGGCCCTAAGCCTGAGGGTTTAGCTGACTTTGTGACACTGTGCCTCTTGCCTTGCAGGTGTGGGTATGGCCATGAGAAAAATGGGAAGCATGGCCAAACCAGATGTTTACATTATTAAGGACGGGGACACAATCACCATGAAAACAGAAAGCACCTTCAAAACTTCACAGGTCAGCTTCAAGCTTGATGAGAAATTTGAAGAAAATACATTAGATGGCAGGAAAACTCAGGTCAGTATACTAGACTTTATTGAAAAAGCACAATTCTTTGGGTGTTTTACAGATGGAAATACTGTTTTAAAATCAATTTTGACATCTGCACTAACAATGCTTTATTTGATGTGGGGCTGTCTCTTTAAGTCTCATTGAAATAAATAAATTCTTTTTTCTTTTTTTTTTTTTTTTTTTTTTTTTTTTTTTTTTTTTTACGTGGATTAAGTGAATTCCAAAGAGGGAAAATGCTGAAATCAATGGTCTTGTGTATTTTGTTGTTTTCGTTTTGTAGGAGAAGCATTTTTTTTTTTAGTAAAACTAACAGACCTCTAAATCCCTGTTAAAGCCAAACACCACTTCATTTGAAGCCTGTGGAAAAAATGCCATTGATGTTTAATCAGAGGCAATTCAGCCCTAGGGTTAACGTCTCAGTCTCATATTTGCATAACAAGAGAGCCTGGTTCAGTGTGGGGTGGGATCAGAGACATGCAAGGCAGCCCTTTGAATCACAGTCCCTAATCTCCAGTTTTACAAAGCAAAGCACTTCTCCTTGCACCGAGTAGGGAGAATATTTATCCAAAAGGAGGTAAAACAAAAATGTCTCATTTCCTAGTGTGAGTGCTCTCTGTGTACCACCCCCCTCCCTCCAGGCACATACTCTCAATTCAACTATTATTGCAAGATCAGATAAGTGTTACACAAATGCTCAAAGCCCATGTACAAAGAGATGAACAGAGGACATCTTCTGCTCCTGTTAATTGAAGCTGTGAGTACTGTCAAAGGTCTGTCTGATGCGGAAATGTGACTGAGCAGTGAGTTATGAAAAGGAGAAGATCAATAAAACATTTAAGATACTATCCTGGCTCTGTAGATGTCAATGACAAAATTATTGTTGAGTGAGTTGGGGTGGGAATCTTTCATTTGGAATAATGTGTTGGAAAGCCTCAGTGTCCATCAGATGTCATGGGAAAATATTGATGTTCAGGTTCTTCTTTCAGACCCTTGTCAGCTTAAAAGATGATGGGTCATTGATTCAGGAGCAGGAATGGGATGGCAAGAAGACCATAATAACAAGGAAGCTAGTGGATGGACAATTGGTGGTGGTGAGTTCAGTCTCGCTTTCTGATCCCTGAGTGCTGCTGCCCAGTAGCCTGAAATGTAACTCTAAAAGGTTTTTTTTTTCCTTATAGTCTGTACTGAGGCAAATTTAATAAATCCATCTCTTTATCTTCTAGGAATGTGACATGAATGGTGTCAAGTGTGTTAGAGTCTACCAGAAAGCATGAGGACATCATCTGGTTCAATAGGAACTTACTGCAAACAACTTGGTTCAGTGGACAGAGCTCCTTTTCACTCCATATTTTCCTTTTCCCTGTTTTCTAGTATTTCAATGGACTGAGTAGCTGAGTGCAATTCTTTTTAAAAGCCGTGATGTAACTATTATGTAACTATTATGAACTTATGAGGCTATTAAATAAAATTGTCAAATATATGAAGTGAAAATGTTTTTACTCTAATGGAATTTTAAAGTGAGGTTTTATAAAAAAATCACTTTGGTTTTAGGCTTTACTACAAACATCCTTCCGTACAAGATAATGAAAGTTACATAGTTAATATAATTAATAGTAAGCCAAATTTTGACCTAAATCCTTAATTGCTAAAGTAGTAAAATCTGAAATAGAAAAAGCATTCATAGTCAGGCTATGGAGTTTTTTCAAACTTGCATGTTTGAAAATAAAATAGCAATGTGTGGATATAAAATATGAGATGTTTGTATTTAAGTACAGGAATGTATTTTCAGGTTGAGTTTGTTTTCTCATGTTTCAAAACCACACTTATCTCAAAATATATATATTGATAAGTCAAAAAATGTGATAAACAGGCAAACACATACATGCTTTATTGAAAGGAAGCCTTATTTTAAGAAGACTCTTTGTTTTCCTAGCAAAACTCTTATTTCATGTCTAGTAACTTTCTAAAAATTCTTAACCAAAATCATCTAAAATACTGCCTTAAAAACTCATTTTATTTCTTTCGGACTCATTTGAAACACCTAGCAATGGAGTTTATATGTTTTGAGGTGCCATAATAAATAATCAGAAATATCAGTGTCCTGAGTATTACTTTTATACTGGTTGGGAAACAGAGCCCATAATGCTACTATTCTTCCAAAGATATGTCAGATGAGACAAAAGTAAAAAGGTTTAGGTGAATTTGTGTGATATCTGACAAACATGTCCTAAAAGTGAAACTGTTTGGTGACAGGGAGGTTTTCATGAGATTCAGAAACCTGGAGGATTGTGCAATTGCATAATTCCAGTTTGCAGCATAGTTGTTGCAGAATCCATGGCTACTTCTGCTATTTTAGCTGCTCAGTGCATTTACCATATTACTGAGCTTACCCAAATAGCAGAAAAATCTATTCTTTTGTGTTCATCCTGCCAACCATGGAAAGTGACTCCTTGGACCATTTATTTATCCTTTTTCATAATTTCGTGACTATTTAAGAGTCATTTGCTATAATTATGTCAACTGTAAGCATTTATTGCTGGAGAATGTTTCTTGCAATTTTTTTCCCATGACTCCTTGTAGAGTTGGGCAATCTTCATATTACCTTCATTTAGTATTTTTCCTCACTTTCATGTGAACCCTAAAGATCTATGCTGTATTCCCATACAGGATATTATAAACAGAAGAAATCTCCCCATAGAAATAATAGTAATGGAAAACAAACTGATCTAATAAGGAACTGAATAAGTTTTGGATCAAAAATACATTAAGTAGTAGCTGTAGAAGGGGTCCAGCAATCTGTGGTGAAGGCGGGATATGAAAATCCTGCCTCCCTTCCAAAACAGAGCATTACTGCTGTAACAGAGTATTACGCCTTCATTGGGGTCACTGGTCTATCACAACTGCTTGTTTATTCTTCTGATACTGGGTGGTGTTAATTGTTTATCTTTTGTTTGAATGGGAAAACCTTCCACTGTCTTTTATAGGACATCCGTTTTGATTACAATGAGATCACTTCTTGTAAAGAAAAGGCAGAAGAATATCTTTTTAGAGTGATTTCCTTTGGAAACAAGGCTTGTAAAGTCTGTTTGTGTCTGTGCTCTCCAAATCCAGCCAAACATAAAGTAGAGGCTAGAGGTCCCAAAGATAATTTTTCTTCCACAAATGTCATGAAAATAGGTGGCCTGATGGAGATAGACCATTAAAGTACCTTGATGATAGAAAGACTGCGCATGGAAGTGACATTTTGTTTGACAGTAAATGGAAGAAAAACATTGTTAGCGCTCTTGGCACACATAGGAAGTTATCTTAAGCACAGAGGCTGACCAATGGTAGGAGGCAGATCAACAGGAAACTGGAATTCTTTAGAGCTAGTTCTTCAGAACTACTTGGGCTCACATATTTATTTGCTTTATTTTGATGTTACTTCAGCCTGTGTTGCCAGTCACTTCAATTTAAGTGTACTGTGACCCGGAACTACCATATATACAACCTCTTTGTGTTAGATTAGACCATATACTTAAAAAGACAATTGTTTTATAGTACTGCAAGCCAGGATTTATTATGCTCAAGACTTGAAAATATAATTAGTTTCCTTCTATTATTTATTATGCAAGACAAAAGTTTCACTCCTTATGAGTGTGTATGCACAATATTTTCATCAGTGTAAAATAATTTTCCTGAGGATTGAATAATTCTGTAGTTCACTATATCACATAAGATGGCAGAAAATAAGACTTCTGAGAAAAACTGAAAAAGAAGTTATGTATTATCCAGCCAAGACTGCTTTATAATGCTACACAAATATGAATTAAAGAGACAAGTTTTGTCGTGACATTTTAGTGCATTTAGTTCTTGACATTTAGTTTTTGAAAATACTTTGGAGGGAAGAAAAAAACATGTTCAGCGAACTGAATGTACAAGAAAAACCTGCTGAAAGAGAAGCAATTTCCATATCCACTCCCAACACGTGTTCATTTAAGGTCATGAGCAGTGTCCAATTTATATCTTCATATCTCACTATCTTCTCAAATTGGTGTAGTTCTACTGTTTCCATGGAAGGGGCTGTTGTTATTTTTTTGTTTGTAGAGGGGAGGGTTTAGGTGTCAGATTTTTCACCCAGTGGAGTAGAAAATGAAATTGTTTAGTAATTTAGATTTGATATTCCATCATCTTAGGGAAATCTTGTCTGAGCTTTCCTGGAACACTAATGTGTTCCTGTGCTTTGGGGAGAGTATACTGGCTCTGTACAGTGCTCATACTATCAAGGGTTTGGTTATATGATTTCTTTCAAAATTGTTATCCTATCTGACTGCAATCACTGCAGTTAACACTGGCTTTTCCTCTTCCTCTTCCCTTCCTACCTCACACATGCACCTCAGAACAAAGTTTTTTAAAAAGCAAAGTCAGTGGTGGGAAACATCTCAGTTTTCTGAGGTTATGGTCCCAATATTAGCTGTAAATTGTCCTAAAAAAGTCAGGGATTATTTCTTCAAGTGTGAAGGTCAAGTGCAGGCAGATAGTTTTGCTAAGCCAGTGGCTACTTGGGCTATATTAACTGTGAGACTCAAACATTCAAAAAGAAATGAATAATTCTTTAATTTTTTTTTTCTGTTTTGTCAGGATAGAAGCTAAAAATCTAGTATTGTTGATTCCAGTAAGTATAAAAAATAAACCATCTTATATACTTCTATATAATATTATGTCCAATGTATTCTGTTGCTTCACAAAGCAGTCCATTCCAAGCAACTCTTATGCAGGTCAGATGCTGAAAATAAATGCCCTGTAAATATTTCTCAGTGTCTGAAGAGGGACCCGGGTCCCTGTCCAGAACCCCCATTTCAGCTCAGCCGGGGGTGTCGGTCTGTGCCTGAGCTGGTTATCAGAGGGTCAGTCTCCAGCTCCAACCCTAACCCTAACCCTAACCCTAACCTGCAGATTTTACACAAAAATTCATACATTAAACTAATTTCTATGAAGAAACTGCCATACTGTTTATATTCTACTTAATTTTTTTTAACAAGAGTAAAAGCAGTAATGCAGATGAGTTCCAATCAGACCTTTGCTGGTGACTTCTTCCCTGCCTAAGATTGTGCTAATACAATGAATGGATTAGAAACACTTTGCACTATGTTGATTATTTGTGATTGTAGGAAAAAAAATCCCACAGTATAAGAGTGAGTGGGAGCCAGTTAACATATATTAATTATCTTTCATGCCTAATTTCAGTCCCATTGTTCAGTCCTGAGAGGATTTAGCACTAATTTCATAGGTTTTCAGAAAATCCAACATCTGTGTAAACACATTTTTGTCCCATGGTTCTCCTTCTAGCTTTGGCTTTTCAGCCCTTGTACATCAAATTAAGTTTTTGTTGACACTTCCCAGAATGATTTTACTTCATGCTATTATTTGAGAGGAAAAGGAAACACTACTACAGACCCCACTCCCAAGATTGAATTTGGCTTCCTTTCCAGCAAAAATGTTTTCAAAATCCATTCTCTCTGCTGGTGGCCTTAATTATATTCTGGAGATATTTACATGTGGAGTTCATTATAGTTTCAGAAGAAATGCAGAGTTTCAGCAACACATGCAATCTAGAATCAGTTTCAGATAATGAATGTCCCACAAAAATGTACTGAATTCCAAATAGTATTGTTGAGACTTTAAAATAACTAACAACGTTGTTATTTTTCACAGATGTGCATGCCAAAATTAAATGTCAGACGACAAATATCCCACTCTGAGGACCATGCATACCACTTATGCAGGACTGGATGTTTGCTCCACCATGCATAGCATCTGGTACTCTTGGAAATTCCTGCTGGAAGTCATTGAGCCTACCTTTGGAGAAGGCATTAGCTAAGGGTGAGCTCAGTTCATTGTGCAGTACAAGTATCTAACAGAAAGTTGAGGTACTAAGTGCAATTTTCAGGCTGGTCTGGTGATATGTTGCTGCTGCACACCCCGTGGGCATTCTCTCTCTGTGTCTTGATGTCTTCTGGGGCCATGTGATATAGTCCTGTATGGTGATCTGCAAATTTAAAATCATAAAGAATAGGATAGCCTGCACCTCTTGACCTCAAGAGAAACCTTGAGCTGAGATCAGAAACTTCACAACAGAGTTTCTGGAAACTCCTAGAGTACAAGGGCTCTTTGGATACATGGAAGGTTGAGCTGAAGGCAACTCAGGCTGACTCCTCACTCTAGAAATTATGGCCAGGCCTTGTTATGACTTTGCAATTTAATTCTATAAGTAAAGTATAGAAGTAAGAATTATTCCTATTTTATTGCAGAGTGTATTTAAGGCAAAATATCATTAATACTATCCCTTAAACTGTATAAAGCAGTATCTGATACTGGGACTTGCTCTGAGTCCTTTCTATTGTCTCATCTCTGCTCATTCTCTTAAACCATCTTGCTTGGTACAGATTAAATTGCATATCAATAAAGTCCAGAAAATTAGATGTTTCTATTCTTTTCATTTGTATTTTTCTACTGGTGAGATGCAGAATGAAAAGGCAAGCTGCATGTCTCTGCTGGGGGTATTGTTTGAACAATCACATTCTTATTGCCCACTTTGTGAAATACGGTCCTTCTGTAAAGAACCAGCTGAACTGATGGCTGCTCTTCTGAAATGGTAACAGAGGAAAGGAAGCCAACTGAATAAAACAGAAATCACAGATGCCTCAGTGCCTTACTGTCCTCAGTTTTCTTTCCCCTAGGTGTTAGCACAACACAATCCATGCTTCTCTGAGCCTAAATATTACCCCTCTGTATGTTCTCTTTCTTAATAAAGATTCTTCTTTTTTTCTATTTCTTTTAAAGATTATCAGGTCTCTTGCATTCAGATTCTAAACATCCAGTTGGTGTGGTTAACTGGAACGGGGATTAAGAAAGATAAGAATAAATATAGCAACGTCTTGTCCAGTCTCTCTCTTTTCTTTAAGCTTTTGTTTCACTCTTTGTTTTTCAGCACCAGGAGAATGAAGAAAACTAAAGGCACAGCTTTCCACTCTAACTACGTGCAATGTTATCCATGGCAGCCATCTTGAAAGTCTGATTTTAAAATAGTAAATGTCTGAGCAATATTAGCCCTAGA